CTATAGGAGAGGGCAGGTCGGGTGCAGACAAAGCGGCTGCCACCTCCGCAGGCACAGTAACGGGAGTTCCTGGAGCTCTGGACAGCGTTGGGGAGAGGGAGATTGGGGCAGACCTGGGGGCAGCAGCAGGCACTGGGGGTAAAGGGACAGGGGGACTTGGGGCTGTTTCTCCACTAGCTAACACTGCAGCCTCCCGCTCCTTCAAGCGCCTGAAACGGGGGGGTTTATCTTGCCTAGGAGGTCGTGCTGGTCGGGATCTACGAGGCCTTTCTCTGCTACTCTGAGGAGGCCCGTCCCCAAATTTCTTGCCCTCAGACTTGGGGGGCCGACGGTCAGCTGGAGGATTGTCATATCTTGGTGTTGACTCCGCATCCTCAGGCCTGAATGTCTCCATGGGTTTAGAGGGCCACTGAGAGGAGGACTCTCTGGCTGCTGGCCTTCTAAGAGGGGCTGAGCGAGGACCCCCACGTTCCCTTGTTCCTCCTCGTCTACTGTATAATCCACCTCTTCCTCGGCGAGAAGGCTCTCCTTTAGGAAGGAATCCTGGCTTGGGTCTGCTTTCATCGTCCCCCCGGGATCCAACCTTTTCCCCCATGTGAGGAGGTCCAAAGCCTGGCTTGTGGGGCCCTGGCCGGCCCTCCCCAGGTAGTTCTCGTCTAAGTGGACGGCTAGGTTTGGTGCTAGGTTCCCGGTCAGACGGTCCAGTATCACTGGCAGACTCCCTCCCACCTTCGCTTTCAGAATCAGTATCTGAACCCCGTCGTCGTCTGCGTTTTGGTATAACCTCAAAGTCTGAGCTCTCACTGCGCGTTTCACTTTCCTCCCTGTTGCGAAAGGCAGCTGCCCCTCCAGCAGAGGGCAAGTCAGAGCGTGATCGAGGCTCTCTGTAAGGGTACTCTGCTCGACTTCTGCCACGATTCCCCCTGCCTCGGCCGCTGTACGTCCCCCGGTAGCTTCGTCCTCTGGAGTAATACTCCCCTCGACCACGTCCTTTGAAACCTGAGTCAGCAGGCCACTCCCTCTCTCTGTCCTTGTCCATATCCTTATCCCTCTCGCGCTCCCTCTCTCGCTCCTCTCGTCGGTAGGCACGTGGAGGAAGATTGGACTCTTTCCTGGAGGGTAATTTGGGTTCTGGATGTTTGTCATTGCTCTGCAGTTTGTCTGTTTTCTCCTCCTGCGAGGAAGAAGTGGGAGCCCCAGACGAAGGCTGAGAGTCTCTGGCTCTCTGATGTCCAGTCGGTGTTTCCTCCGGCTCTGTAGATTCTCTCTTCCCTTCGCCCTGAGGTCTGGATCCCTCAGACACAGCAGCAGCTGCAGAAGGAGCTTTGGATGACGGTTCCTTTTTGGACCTGTCTCCTCTATCCGCCCTCTCATGACGCTTCTCTCTTTCTTCTCTTTGCTCCCTCTCTTCTTTCATGTCCCTTAGCACAGGCTTCTTTATTGGCCCAGACCTGCGGACTGGCCTCTCTCCCCCTGGTCCTTCTCTGCGTCCCGTCCCTGATCTCCCTCCCCAGCGCAGCTCAGCTTTCTGCTTGCTAGGGGCTGGCAGAGGCAGCTTCTCTTGTTTGTGTAATCCATCAGCAGGAGGTGTCGCCCTGTTGCTGGTCACTGCAGCCTGGGAGTACAGTTCATTCTGGGGCTTATCATCAGCCCTTTCCCCTGTGTCCTGTAATTCTAGTGATTTTGTTCCCAGGGGTAGAGCATCAAACCTGGGTTCATCAAGCTTGAGGGAGTGGCTGGAGCCCTGGGACACACTCCTTTGCAGCATAGCTTGGCCAAGAGCCTCTACCTCTTCTCCACTCGGTAGGCCTGGCTCCTCAGGATCGAAGGCTGAGCCTACAGGGACCCTGTCTAGAGGCCCAGAGACGTCCTCTGGGCCCTGGGTAAATGCTGACAGGGACTCTGTAGGGTCCCGGAAGAAGTTACTCTTACGAGAGTCCAATGCACTGTGGTCCTGGGGGTATATAGCTGGGAGTCCCCTGTCCAGATCCAAACCAGAGTCCATCCTGTAAAGAAACAATGGTTAATGTGTCATGAGCAGAAAATAAAGGCCACTTCTTCTGTTGTTTTTTTTTTTTAAATTTACCTCGGCTCCTTGTTTTCATCCCGTCCTTTCGGAGCAGTTACAGAAGATAACGGCTCTGACTGTGGGTACGGGTCAGAGCCCCAGACCATCCGTGAGTCTGAGGGTAAGCCATGGTCACGGATTGGTCGGGTCAAGTGGTCAAAGGAGTCGGAGCTGGAGCTGGAGTTGTCACCTGGCTCTCTGCGCACGATCTGCTTCGGAGGCATCCTCCCTGAAGAGCACAAACCAGACCGACTTTACACAGGCTGTCAGCTCCTCACACTCATCACATGCTCTACTTCTATTCCACACGTCTCCCTACCAGGGTGAATGTTAGCTGGCATGTCCATAGGAGGACGTCCAGACATCATGCGGGGGTCCATGTAGGACTGCATCATTAGCCAGCGGGGGTCAAACCCCATGGAGGCCAGGTGCTGGTGGTGGGGGCCCATGGGTTGATACATGGAGCGGTGTTGCTGCTGCTGCTGTTGTTGTGTAGCTGGAACCCCACCACCACCTGACGGGGACACGGAGCCCCCGCTCTGCTGCTGCTGCTGCTGCTGCTGCTGTTGTTGCCATTGTTGCTGCTTCATTTGCTCCTACAACCAAAGAAAGAACCAAAGGATATTTAAGCTAAGTAAAGACAACTTGTTTTTAATGGTATATACTACAATGTAAATATTCATGGCTCAATGTCCTATCTGCTTGTTGTGAAAACACAATGCATTTAAAACGACCACCTTCAGACTGGTGACAAATTAAAGGAAGAATCAACATAAAGTGTCTTAGTGTTGAGCTTCACCGCTGCTCGTCATCGATTCTCTGAGTCTCTGAACTCGACTGGAGGATCATCGACATTCTACCTGAAGATATTCCCTTACGCGGTGTAGTGATGGTGGTGGGATGGACGCACCGTCGTCCTGTTTCTCAACTATTTTCCAGGTTGTTCTTTGATTTGTCACAGTCTGTATGAACACTATTTTTCCACAACCCAAGCCTTTGCAGACGTGACAGAACCTGGGCCCCAGAGTTCTATTTACCTTCATTATAGTGACAGTGAGAGTGACAGGAAAGTCGAGGAGGGAGAGGGAACGTCACGCAGCAAAGGGCCGCAAGTCGACCACCGAGGCGCCCAACACTGCAGACTGTTGAAAATACTGCTCCCAATACACACATGCTATCGGCGCACGTGCACTGATATGACTAATGAACACACTAACTGTGGAAAAGGTCTAATTAAACTCACTTTGAAAGTAAATGTAAGATCAAACTAATATTCATCAAATTCCCAGTTGATTCACAGTTAGGACAACAGCCCACCAGCTCATGACACACACACTAATCATTGGGTTAATTAATTTTAACGAGCTCGTAGTAACTCAAGACACCAGACGTGGACGACCTCACCTGCTGTCTGAGGAAACGAGGCGGCAGAGACTTTTGAAACTGTTTGGAATAGCCTGAGGTGAGAGAGGGACGCATAGCAGCTGCTGCTTCTCCTTCCAGCTGTGGGGGGGCTACGGGGGCTTCCTCACTACTTGGGGCGTCCATGTGAGGCAGAGACAGGTGGGGCTCATCCACTGCAGGGAAACACAACCGACAGTATTGGCATCGGCAACAATGCCAGTTCATTTACAAGCAGCTTTGAGAAAAGGCTGAGCCGGCTCACCTCTGTTGTCCTCTATGTTGAAATAGTCTCGGATAGGCACAGTTGTCCTGTCGGCTTGGTTCTCCTCCGTTAGGGGGCCCACCTCCGCCAAGGAGCTCTCCCCCTCGCCCTGAGGCTCTGGAGCTACGACCGCAGGCCTCTGGACAGGAGGACTGGGCTGACGGGGCAAGTGAACAACTTCCTCCTCTGCAGTTGGTTCAACTCTCTCCCGTTCCCACTCTGTCCTCTCCCTGTCTCTCTCAGGCAGAGGAGCTTGCATGATCGGGGCCTGTGATTGTGAAACTGGGACTGAAGGTACAGGACTGGATACAGGAGCAGGAGCTGATAAGGAGGACTCCTCGTGGGCAGCTCCTGCCTCATCGTTCGGCGCAGGGGAGGATTTGCCCTCAGCTGCTTGGCGGTGTTTTTCATTGAGACGTTTTAGTTTTTCGGCACAAGCCGCAAGCCGCTGTTCTTCCATTCGCCGTTCCTCTTCTTCTCTCCTCCGTCTCGCTCGTTCTACGGCTTCAGAAACTTCTGGCTTCTTGCGCTTCTGTCTCCAGGCCTCAGAGTCCTCCTCGGGACCGGGTGCTGCAGCCGGTGGCTTGCTCCCACGCGGAGCTGTGGCACCGACAGGACGAGTGCCGCCCTGGAGAAAAGAGTACAAACAGACTGATCACCGTGCTGTTTGAATAATCAGTGCACACATAATGGAAGGCTTCTGTAATGCATATGCAGCTTTACCTGGTAGTCCTGTGGAGCAGCTGATTTAGTGTACTGCCCCATACTGCCAGGTGATGGAGCTCTAGGATCTGCGCTGTCGGCCCATGAGGTTTTACTGCCCCCACGGTCCTCAGACCCCTCCTTCCAGCCCTCCTGACCGTCTGATGGCCGAGGTCTCATTCGCTCCACTTTACCCATCCACTCCCTAAAAATAACATCAATAGGATTCATTAAAAACGAATATCGTCAGGTTCTTTCAACCTCTGGCTGCACATTAAACCTCATCACAACACATGCTCTCACAGCTTTCACAAGTTATTCCCTTGATTGAAGATATTTGTGACGCTACCAGGCAAAATATCTGCCGGCGGCTTTGCTCACTTGACTTGTAAATTAAAGTTTTACTGTCGTGTTTCATCTGACAAGAAATTACGCTGCAACTGGCTCTGACGACGTGTCCTCGTTCCTCAGCCGCAGTTTTCACAAGTTCGGAAATACATTGGCAATCCCTCCCCTCCCCTCCCCCCTCCCTCCGCTATGCATCCAAGATGGTGACTGTTGAGGGCGATTTCAATTTAATACAAAGTATGTGTAGTAACAGTTTGGTTCTTTCCACAACAAGCAGCAACGGCAGCGCTGCCAAACAACATCCATCTGGTTCTGAGTGTATAACTGTGGTAATGTTAGATCATCTATTATACAGTGTATTCTGTCCTGAGTCAGTGTCACAATATGTTGCCTGTTGTATAAACAGTGCCAACATGTCACATTCACTGACTATTTGAACTATATCATTAACAGTGTTTTTCCATGTTGTAATTTATTTACTCCCATTTATTTCTCCATTATAATCATGTGTCTCTTTGACAACATTGCATAAAGATGCTTATTTGCTGCTGTGGCCATGTAACACCATTTTGCATAGAGCAGCATATTTAGCCATTTCCAGGTGTTAATGTAGCTATAGCTTGTTAAAAACATTGACATCTGCTGCTGTGTGTTCTATGGAATCACATGACTAGCTAGCACATTAGCGAACACTCTAATCAGAAGCTAACATGCTAGTTTGGTCTGGACCACACTCATTACTCAACATCTCCACATCTGAAAATAAACTTGATGGTTTATAGAAACATGGAGAAAGTTTCATGCTTTATTCATAAAATGCACAATAACCTTCATATACAAGTTCATCTGCTGCTCTGTATCGTCAGCTACGTTTCAAGACAAAACATAGGTAGGGAAAATGCATTGTGGGACAGAAGCTCAGTAATGAATATGAGACAAAGTGTACTGAAATGCTGAAAAGTGAAGCTCAGACTCTCACCAGTTTTCTCCTTTTTCTTTAGCAGCTTGGTTTTCCTCATCGTCGCTGAAGTTTAGTTTCTCAGTGTAGTCCACCTCCATCTGAGCTCCTGGATTACAGAGAGGTCAGGATTAAAGCTACAAATGAATGACTGGTTATTATTAACGCTGTATTTCATAATGTACGGCTACTGACCTGCCCAGCCCTCATCAGCATCAGTGTCTAAATTGTCCAGCTCCTTCAGTTCTGTGGCGCTAATGATTGAGGGTCTGTCTGGATCCTGGAGCCAGGACTGAGGGGGGGCCTGCTGGGGTCGTGCTGATCGAGGACCCCTGACCAGCCAACAAAGAGGAAAAGAGAGGGAAGTTCATTCAGGGGCCTAATGAATATACAAGCTACTAAAAACTGTAAACGGTATCGTGCACACGGCCAAAAGATTCCTTTTATAATGATGTGAACAATTTGCTTCTGTGTGATGTCATGACATTTTATACTGTCCACAGCTTGTATAATCAATTGCCTTTAAAACAGATTCATTGTTTTGTTAATTATGAAGGAAGACTCCACAGTATAATGTGTTTGTGCAAAGATCAATTAAATACAAATCAAAAATGTATCTTATTTTGCTTCAAATGTATTTAGGCTTTAGCCGTTAAGATGTGAACTTACTTGGCTCCATCTTGTGGTACAGGGAATCTGAAGTTTCCTTGCCCAGGACCATAAGACATTTGAGGATAGGCATGGAACATCTAGAAACACAAAGACACCCACCTTCACGCAGGGTAAAGAGAGAAACACTACAACTCCACACTTAACTGCAATATCCTCCACGGTCTGTCCAGAAGATCAAACTGTGACTCACATAAGGTGGCATCATGCTCCTGAAAGCAGGATCAAAGTGAGTTGGCACCCCCGCAGGAGGCTGCTGCCCCCCATTAAGTTTAGGCTGAGGAGGGCCAGATGTGGGCGGCCTCTCCCTGACATCCCTCTTCTCCCTCTGACCGTCAGTGGTTACGTTTCGGGCAGGTTCATCAGCTTCCACCGGGGGTGTGGAGGTTCCAAGGCCTGGACTTCCCTCCTCTGGAGCCCTGTTCTCCATCTCAGGGGGGCTGGGTGCAGTGTTCAAATTCCTGCCTCCACCCTCACGCCAACTGCCAACATCTAACAGGAGAGAGGGAAGAGAGATATTGTTTGACTTGAACCGGTGGTTCCTGAAACAGAAAGCAATCAAATAACAGTGAATGATGTTTATGTGCATGAGTGTGGCCATACTTTGAGGTCTGAGGCTGGGGCCCGGTCCATAAGGCTCCTCCTCTTGACCGTCCCCTTTCTCCGCCTCACCAGCCGCCTGCAAGCTGGGGAACTCCTGGTGGAAGTGGCTGCTCACCCGAGGAGCTCCTGCACAATACAAGCACTTTATGAATGCACAGAAATCACAAGATTGAATCTAATACTGTGACGTACAGAGCTGCAGTGAAAGGTCTAATCCTCAGGTGGTGTATGGCACCCCTCCCACCCCTCCCACCCCAACCCAACATTTAGTGGAGATCAAGTGGACGGCTCAGAGCTGGAGACCAACTGAGGATTTTGCTTTTCTTTGTTTGTTACACTGAAGAGTTTACAGCCTCCTACTTAAATGTCAAGTAGAACCACAGCACTACAACAGACTATCTGCGTTTTATGAATAGGTGTAGTGCTCAGGGAGCAAGTGGAGAGGATGATTACCGTCTAGCTGTGTCTGCTTGCTGTTGGCCCACGAGCGGCTGCCCCCAGTGGAAAGCTCTTGTGACTGGATCACTGCTGGTTTGTTCTGGGGTGGGGGCGTCTCCTGTTGCCTGTGGCACATAAAACAGCAGAGTTTCCAACAACAACCACACGTGAAAATGTGGATGACAGAGTCCTCTTCACCTCACACTTCCTGTCATTCTGTAGTGGTTCACACGCCTTCATTTAGAGACGAGCTTTAACAAACGGGTTGGGGCTTAGTTTCGGTCCATGACCTCGTAAATGTGCACACAACTTATTCAACTTACCTCTCCTCTCCTGCCTCAGCCCGGGACGCCCAGCCACTGCCGTCTTTGGGGACGATGTTGACGTTGGGGTCGTTTCCCTTGTTCTCTGCCTTCAGGCTGGGCAGGTTGGCTGGAGGGGGCATGCGCCGGCTAACAGCAACTTTGCCCAAACTCTGGAGCCCATGTCTGGCAGCCACTGGGACAAACAAACAGCAAGATTAAGGTTTGTCTCAATCCTTCAAGTTTATATTCCATTGCCTTGATCAATAAAGTTAATTCATGCAATTCAGTCCACTCATTTGAATTCAAGACTAGAAGGGAACTGCTTACCTGCAGTTTTCTGGGTTTCCAGAGATTTGCCCTTGTAGGTATTGAAGAGGCTAAGGGTTGCATACTTTGTTTTGCCATCCTTTGCCTTGGTGCTCTGCCCTGACTTCTCGGACATTTCGCTGGAAACTCATTGAGTCTGGTCCTTTGGCCTCGCCCCCAGAACCAGCCTCCTACAGACCAAAGAGGGGGAACAGGAATGAGACAAACGCTGGTAAAGTTGTTGAAGAAATCTACAATGAAAAATATCAGTTGACCTTTTTAAAACTACATTTGAAGTTCATTTGTAAAAATGAGAACTATGATGAAAAGTATAAACATTTTTCATCAACATATAACTAAATGATAATGTGAAAGACAAAGTCAACGACCTGCATGTATCTGCAGATTCACACACTGTAGCCTGTGACTGTGCGTGCGCCACGTGACAGGCACAAACTCGGCTGCTTGACCGTCGCATTACTGTTAATAAAAGGCACCTTCCATTCAGTAACTGTCAGTTATTCTAAGTTATTGTTTTTTTAGAAGAAACAGCTTCATGGACTCCATTCATCCATGATAACCAAACCAACCATACAAACTATGAAAACATGTAGGCAGGACACCAATAATTATGAAAAAACGTAAGCTAACGTTACTTCCAGTCGACTCTTTAGTGTTGCTATCAGAATGAGTAAATTTCCAGGATTTAAGGCAGCAGTCCACCATCTTGTCCTTTAGGTTGCTAAAGACATGTCACTACGTTTTAACATTTGATGTTTGAACTTAAAAAAAAAAAAAAAACGTTGGGTGAACAAATGAATGAACCCATCCTCTGAATGAGTCAATGAACAGTATAGGTGGCTGCAGTAATGCTAATGCTAATGCTAGGTGAGCAGAATATACAAGAGAGCGCAGTTCTGTTCCAACAGCCAGAGTCTGGAAATCATAATGGAAAAAATGACTGACGTTACTGAGGAGAGTCACTCTGTATTACTGCAGAGTGACAGAGACCCGTAACCATGGCAACTGTACATAACAAAGATGACGACAGCTGAATAACCGCAAAATGTTTAGACATAAAAAATAAAATTGCATGACAAAAATGAGTGAAAATGACTAAATATATGTTGTTGTAGAGCTTTTGCAGCTGGACACGACAGCGTAGCACAGATATCTGAACCTTGTTCCTAATGTTCACCAACAAACTGCACTTAGTGTTAACTACACCTGAACCTGACCAACGGATTGATAAATCGAGTACTTTAATCATCAAGAGCAATGAGGTTGGCAAATAACCTACAATTCAATTCAAGGCTAAATCCTATACAATAGACTAAGAGTATGAAAATAAAAAAACATAAATAGGGGGAAAAATTTACACTAAAGACAGACCCATAACTATGCTGTGTGCTAAACAGACACTGTACATTAGGACAAGTTGGGTACACACACACATTATTTATATATATATATATATATATATATATATATATAAAAGATTAAGGTGTTATTATGAAAGATTAAGGTGATGAACGGATGTGATACATAATGTGATAAAAAGTCCAGGTGAGCAGTTGGTCCCGTCTCCCAACACAGAAGAGAATCATTGTACAGACTGATGGCAGCTGGCAGGAATGACTTCCTGTAGCGCAGTGTGCCTATGTGTGATCCGCAGGCCATGGAGGGGATGCAAGGTGGTCTCCATGTTGTTCAGTTTGTGCAGCATCGTCCTGGTAAAAGATCTGCAAAATCTTGCTGCACACGTTTAAAAAAAGAAAAGAAAAAAAGAAAAGAAAAGGACATCACCTTCCTCAAGAAGGAAAGGAATCCAGGAGAGGTGCTGTGCTTAGTGCAGCATGTCATGTCAAACATGGAGTTTGGGCAGGATGCAAGTTGTTGGTTCAATGAAAACTGATGCATCAACTTTTCAGAGGGTGACAATAAGAAAAAAAAAAAAAAAAAAAAAAAAAAAAAACTGAAACTGATTCAGGTGTAAATGATAAAACCAGATAAGCTCATCCTAATCATACCACACAAAACAAGTGCAACTAAATCACATGACATAAATTAGTGGCAAAATTGTATTGTGAAGCGAATGGGACCCGAGTGTGTGTGGGGGGTTTGTCATGTCTGGCCAATACCAGTCTCATAATAAAGGTCACACATAAATGAACACAAGTCTATGGCGGGACTCCTGACACAAACCCACTGTTGCCTGAGAAAGGAAATGGTGCATGATTGAAGATACTCTGAGGATGCTCAGGAAGGTTAGCAAGAGAAGTGAATTAGAGTGAGCAGTACCAAAGACAGCATGTTTGGGCTGCAGTGTCTTTCCTAAGACACACAGAGGTCATTTATTATTAACGTAGCAGTGGTGGAACAGTGTCTGTCTCTGTGTGTCTGTGTGTGTGTGTGTGTGTGTGTGTGTGTGTGTGTGTGTGTGTTGGGGGGCTGACAGCTCTGATGAGCTCAGTCTCTATCTGTAACTTGGCCTTAGAACACTTCTGCAAAGTAACATCCACTTAAAGGAAAAGCCCTGTTTTGTTGTTTTGTTTTTTTTGTAAAGCACCTGGTTCTTATTTTTTAAAATCTTCTCAAACACAATTGTAAATCAAACCATAACAATAAGATCCAGGTAGCAATCTATTTTTCTCCACTTTACATGGCATGCTAATATTAACTGTGGTATCAGTAGTGATGCTCCTTAATTCTTGTAGACGACAAAAAATAATTTTTCCAGTTCAACTGATAGTTTAGATAACGCTCTGTGGGATTATGAGTCTTCTGCCATGAGGAAAGAGTTTAAGAGAAGGCATCACTTCAGTTTAACCAGAAATATGATGATTTTATGTTGTCCTTTAAAAAATGGGTATTGATAGGACATCTGTATTATAATAAGAAAAAAAAAAAAAAAAACCCAGCCCTGAATGCACAATTTAGTCTGAACCTGGATTTGCAGTCTGCTCATCTACTCCTAATGCTTGTTACTTCATCTGTCAGCTGTCTGTCTGCGTCTTTACTGCCGTAGAGCAAAGTGCAGGCTACACAAGACACCCTGAGCATTTTCTTCAACATCTGTCTGGCTGTGGTAGTGTTTGTTCACTGAAGGCCGAGCAGCCGAGACACTTTTATGCATTAATACAATTAAGTATCTGAACACACTCTCCCCACCTGTCTCAAAAACAACAATGGCAGACATACAGTTTTGTGTTTTCACCTGTCTTGTTTCAGCCTTGTAGTCTAACAAACACAGGTTCTGACAAGGTACTGGTACCAGTCCCCACTGACCCAAATGCTGTCACTAACTCACGCACCTCAGTGTCCCTTGAACACATGCTTGTTGATTTATTTCCACTGTGTAAAACAGAACAATAAAAAGACAATGATTCAGATGAAGCTGTTGTTGAGACTCAGGCTGAGCGTTTAATCTAAATTTGGCAGAACAGATGGATCACAGATCTGTACAATTCACCAGAAATTGACAAATAAAACAGTTGCATTTATCACGGTCATTATAAATCAATGTTTTACTACAGTTCGGTCAGGTGCAGCGGCGACACTTGACAGGAGGTGGGGAGGAAAAACAATTTGAATGTAGCGGGAACGCTTTATCATTTTAAAGTACTCTGCATCACTGGAGTGAATCTCACAGCAACAGAGCTCGACTCTCTATTGGCTATTGAGGATGTTTGCCCCCCCCACTACCACACACACACACACACACACACACACACACACACACACACACACACACACACACAATATTAAAGGGTTTTTAAAAAGTCCATGACTGGGTAGAGGTTTCAAGACCGAACCTTTACAAATCCCCCCACATTAGAAAAACCATTTGTCAGGGAAAATCCCTTTGGGAACTGGCCACGATTCTCCACTTGAGAAGGGTCAGCGTGAGGAGTATGGTGCAGAGGTCGCGTGGAGGGACTCAGTCAAGTGTGCACAAAAAAGGGTGTGCATAAATCCTGACATCAGAGGGATATGGGATGGGTGAGAATGTGTTTGAAAAAAGAAATGGAGAGAGAACACTGACACACCTACATCCTCTGTGCACAGATAAACCATTACCTGTTCAGTAACAGTGACACCACAGCACAACCCAATCACCTGAGGATGAGCGTCTACACTGAAGGGGTCCATTCAGTTTACAGTCCCTGCTCCACCTCTTACACGGTCAACATAAATCCACTGAGGGCAAAGTGGCCTTGGTCCACCATTTTGAAGTGTTTTCAGATGGTTGTATCAAGCAACTGCAAAATCCAAGATTTGTCACCAAGCACACAACAGCATCCCAGCTCCCTAACCACTATCTGCTCAGCCCAACCTCCAGCGTGACCCTTCACCTCTGCAACTACTTCTGCATAACAGCTCATCCATCAAGGTCAGCTCTTTCCCTTTTTCTAATACACAAAAATACCAACATTCTGCTGTTTCTTCTAGGCAGTAACTAGTTTGTGTCTGTGCTTGTGTACAGGTGTTAATGTTCCTCACAGATTTTAGCCGTCTAATGAAACTGAAATTTCCCATCCGTCAAATCACGTGGCCAGTGAAATTATTTTTGTGTTGTGGCGGTGATGCTTAGCAGGAGGAATTCAACTGTCCTACTATAATTTGACATGGCTATTGTTCATTTTATAAGTAGAGTAACTACTGCTTTGACACACTTAGGAGCCCAACAGGGCCGGTGAAATATGAGCCTCAGAGCAGTTATTTGAAGATATGAATGGAGGTGAACACAAAAACTTATTACCTCAGTAGCACATTATGACTCTCTTTTGCATTGTAGATTGACTTCAGGTTCAGGCTGCAGGTCGACCAACACAACTTACCTGTGCAGCCTCCATGTAGCCTACTCTTGTTTACAGCGGGCCATGGGACGGGCCGTCTAATGCAACAGTGAAGTCAAAGAATAAAAAGTCACGTAGATGGCCTAAAAGATGGGTGCTGAAAGAACAGGATTATATTTCACTGTCCCTGTTGCTTTGTACTGTAATGCTGTCTGAAGAACTCTGGTCCTAAATCTCTACAGTGACAGTGGAGAAGTCAGTATGTCAACCATCTTTAGGTTCAGTGGCAAAAAGTATAACAATAAAACTAAGGGTGTATTTTTTTTTAAATCCTTAAATATATATAAAAGATGGGCCGTGGACATGAATATGCATCAGGCCGCCATCCCTCAAAGATACTGGACTACATGACCTGTCACGTAAAAAGAAAATATAATGTGTGCAGTACTTGATATGATTAGCACACATTCAGCATTTACCAGTTTATCTTCACTTTGATCAGGGTCAATGCAAGCAGCACCATCCTAACACCACTTACTATATTTGGCCCAATTCACAAAGACATGAACAAACAGATGACAATTGGAAGCCACTTCAGATTATTGTGGTTCTCCATCACCAGGCCATCAATACCACTGAGATGGTCTCCCTGGGGAGTTGCTGGTAATTTCACTGCGCACACAATAAACTGGAGGGTGGCTTTATTTTCATTAATTGGATGCAAAAGTGCTTAGATTAAATGCTCAAATGAAACATTAGTTATTGCAAGTGCCAGGTTGAAATACACAAATTGGAGCATGTACAGAGACTAGAGGATGCGGTGTGTAAAATCACTATCTAGTTATCACTTGATATCCGGCCTGGTTAATGTTTATTGTGCAGAGACTCTTAAGACAAACTGTTAGCATCTCTTTTATCTTTAAATCAAAGGCTGGAGCTCTCAAAATACACTTTCATCTACTTCTGCTGTAGATCTCTGATCAGGTCATGACACTGACTGGTCAATCAATAAAGCACTACTGCAATCAATACACATCTGAATGGCCTCTCTATAATGAGCCAGATGTAGACTTATTTGTAACCATGGATGCATATATGGGAACAATACCACGTTGCCTATTGATAAATCTCCCAGGAAGCTTCCAAATCTACAAGCAGACTTTATGAATCACTGAAGTCTTCCACACCCCAACTCCTGAAAGCGCACAGTCACACACTAGAAATGTGCTCTAAGACCACGTTAGTTGGATCTGCAAGACATTCTGACTGAGAGGGAAAGCTCTGTTAGTCTGTCCACGGGACGTAATTAAAAACATGAATTAAACGTAATACATCGCCAGAACATGTGGCCCAAATCATGAAAAATCAAAGGAGACGCTTAATACTGTCCTATTGTTTCTGTAAATCACTGCCTCTGAGGAGTCTGCAGGCCATCCTTGTCCATGAATCAAAGTACTGGTGGGCTGGGTGGCTCACACCGGCAGGGAGCAAAGGCCCTTTTCGCCCGGAACTCATCCACACCGGGTTCAAATACCACGTTAATTGCGCAAAAAGTTCAACTCAAAATGTCACTGTTATGCTCTACCCAGCAGCGTGTATTTCTGTGTATAATGTTTAAGGCGGTGCTGTTGGAGAGCAGGCCGCCAGCTTGCATCGTTTAGCATAGTTTCGTTTCTCACTAGTCGCCATCACATCCACTCTGAGCCCGTCAGTGGTCAAAGCATGCTAGCCAGCTAGCGCCGAGTGAACACCAACACATCGGCTAATGGACAAAACTTTAAAAAATCAACTTGCAGACCCACCTGCCACCGCCGGTGCCTTCTTTGTCCTTTTGGCTGTTGTGTGGCCTCACTTGAAATCCGGTTTCGGCCTGGTTTGTGGTGAACGAAAGTGTGTCTGGCCGGCGGATTACAAAAGCTGGCTAGCCTGCTAACCCAGTTCGGCTAACGATGGTTAGCTACTTTGCTCGTTGGCTGCCAACAAACCGCTCTCCACATGCACGGCTTCTGTTTCGCGTCTTCTGCGCCGTTTCAAGACACCAGTCTGTCTTCGTCTGTTCGGCCGTTACTGCGGGAAACCGGTACGCGGTCGTCCCGTGTTTCCGTGACTCTCCCCACCCGTTATCTCGTGCCAGACCGTTTTTCTAGTTGAGTGAGGCCCCGCTCGCGCCGCGGCCTGTCGCACAATCAAAGATGGCAGACTGTAGTTGCCAGATTTATCCTCTCACATCCCCCTCTCAAAGCCTCCAACCCGCCGTGCAGGTGCTCAGTCACACGTTTGTTGCCACCAACACCACCCTGTCAGAGAAGCCTCACTCACAGAAGAGAAATACATTTATTTTCTGTTGACATCAATAGCACTGAAATGTGTTAAAAGTGTTATAAATTAACATAATAAAGCCAACCAGATCCTGTTCTCTTTTTAATGCATACATGTTGTTTCATTGGTGGTTGATCTGACTGAAGCTATAATTATACACAAATGTGAAAAGATCTTTCTTTAGATTAAATACAGTGACTGGTTCTGCAGAGAACAGTATGACCACCCACCCAGCAAGGCTGAAAGCTGGACTGAAACACTCAGTTGTCCATATTGTGCCAAAAAGTTGAACAAGCAAAAGTCTCAGTCATTATAAGATTGTTTTAATTCTAGTGATGTCTTTGATAGACACTTTGATAGATTTAACACATCAGTGTTTTTTTTAAAGAAATTTAACATAGGATAAGAGTCAAGTCAATTCATTTTATTTATATAAAAGCAACAAATCACAACAGAAGTTATCTCAAGATACTCTTCAAATAGAGCAGGTCTCTCCCTATACTCTTTATAATATTTATAACAGAGACCCAACAATTCCCACCATGAGCAAGCACTTGGCAATAATAGGAAAAACTAGGCCTAATAACAGCAGTAACACAGCAACTAAACTGTATACAGAAGCATTTTGTTATTACCAGTGGATACACTCATATGCACACATCAATTAAGGCATGAATACATTATTATAATAAAATATAATATAATACAATATATGTAAATATTGTTTGGTTAGATGGAGTGGTATTTGGCAAATTACAAGTGCTGGTATCTTTATGGTCTGTGTCTATTTGAGGGAGGTTGTAGTGAATGAGGCCAACTGTTACATCCACAACGGGGGCGCTGAAGTCTGCACCAACACAAACACAGCTGAATTAAATTAATTAACAAAGGATATTCTCAAATAAAATCTTTTTCATCCCTCGAATGACATTCACACCATCGGTTTCTCGAAATCTGGCAACCCGACTGTTAACGAGTCACGCGTGGACGATTCTTGTTCCGGGGTCTACCGGTGGTTCACGAGCGGCGGTTTGGTTTGAAGGCTGTTTGAAGTAAAAACTGAATTCCTTAATCCATTTAGAGATTTCGTTTTTGATTTAAACATGTTATTATGGATATCTATCTATCTATCTATCTATCTATCTATCTATCTATCTATCTATCTATCTATCTATCTATCTATCATTCTTCTATCTATCTATCTATCATCTATCTATCATCTATCTATCTATCATCTATCTATCTATCTATCTATCTATCTATCTATCTATCTATCTATCATCTATCTATCTATCTATCTATCTATTTATCTATCTATCTATTTATCTATCTATCTATTTATCTATCTATTTATCTATCGTTTTAGCTTTATTTTAGTTTCATTTAAAACCTTAAATGAATATGTACTGGAAGCATATGTCAATTTAAATTTGAAGGGATTATTTTAATTCATGGTAGTTTGGACAGTTTATTGTTTACTTCTTGGCCACAAATGGATTGAATTATAAAATCCGACTATTTTTTATTCATTAACAAAGTCAGTCGTGAGCTTACTGATAATGGTGTGAAGATTTGCAGAACGAACATCTTGTGTCAGTGTCTCTCCTATATTTGAGCTAAGAAAAAAAAGTAATAAGACACAATTTCTCTTGCACCACATTCATTAGTATCGTTTTAATTTAATGCCTTGATTCTTTAATTTTATGGGCAGTCATCCTTAAGAAGCAAACAGTGCAAATATCTTTCTTTTGACCCTGATCCTGGAGGAAGACCTTTAATCACATGATCCCAGTGTGATGCAGTGAGACACAGATGACCATACAATACATAGTGTTGTTTCAGGCAATTCTTTCAAAGCCGCCATTAGGTGGCATCATTGATCAATGTACATTATCTTGGTTTATGGTCCAGTTAGATATGGAGTAATGTCATGTAGTACATCTCATCATCTCTTTTACTTATATTTCTTCTCTTCTCTTCTAATCCTAATTTAATAATTCATCTCCTCTAATTCTAATTTTAGACTCATTTTCTATCAAATTTGCTTCAGAAATGAAAGTTATTGATTACTAGTTACTGTCCTAAAACCCTGAAAATAATCCAATCATATTTTTCTTTTCTTTTTTTGTTGTTGTTGTCGCTAGGCAGAGAAAAGGTTAGCTGGCTCGCTCATTAGTTAAAACAATCATGTAATACGATTTCAGACACCCCTAAAGTGGACCATACCATTTCTTCACGTTAGGCCCAATCCCAGTGTCCCCCCTAAGGCCTCGGTCCTGAACCCTCACAGACTTAACTGACGTCACCTGGTGAGTGAAACATGTTACAGTTGTGGGTTTGGGACTTCTGATTTTCCATTCTTTATTCCCTTCCTTCACTCCCTGTTTGTAAACAAAATATGAAACCAGATTTAATCATCATGTCATCATAGGAGAGATAACTGCACACAGTTCTGGCTCTGAATCACAGTGAGCTGTTTATACTATCATATACTGTCTTTTTTCTTGTAATGCTAACATTAAGGTTCGTTCCTCTCATGCTCGTGTTCGTTAACCGTTCTTCTTTATTATTTCTTCTGTTTTATGACCGCTTCCTGGCGTCCCCTGGTAACCACGGTAACCCTGTGTTTAATGTTACAACGCTATGAACTTTGGGTAATTCCCTCTGGCAAGTGTTAGAGTCCTCATGCCCTCAATGGTTTGACAGTTTGACACTGTCTTTGTTTTCACTCAGGAATTCAGGAGTTTTACCTGTTGGCTGATTGAACAATATTAAATACTGTACGTAAGTACAATTTTGAGGTACTTGAGGATTTCGATTTTATGCTACTTTATACTTCCACTCCTACATTTCAGAGGAAATATTGTACTTTCTACTTCACTACATTAATTAGACATTCTCTAGTTAAACAAGCCAGATACTGTAAGGACTGTAACAGTTCACTGAAGCACCTGCATTGTACTGGGTTCCCTTTCTTCCCGTAGAAAAAGTTGATCTTCCTAGTCGTCTTTGTCCCTGTTTCCGGTCTGTGTCCGGTCTGTATCCGGTCTGTGTGTGGTCTGTGTCCGGTCTGTGTCCGGTCTGTGTCCGGTCTGTATCCGGTCTGTATCCGGTCTTTGTCCGGTCTGTGTCCGGTCTGTGTCCGGTCTGTATCCGGTCTTTGTCCGGTCTGTGTGTGGTCTGTGTCCGGTCTGTGTCCGGTCTGTGTCCGGTCTGTGTCCGGTCTGTATCCGGTCTTTGTCCGGTCTGTGTGTGGTCTGTGTCCGGTCTGTGTCCGGTCTGTGTCCGGTCTGTGTGCGGTCTGTGTGCGGTCTGTGTCCTGTCTGTGTGCGGTCTGTGTCCGGTCTGTGTCCGGTCTGTATCCGGTCTGTATCCGGTCTGTATCCGGTCTTTGTCCGGTCTGTGTGTGGTCTGTGTCCGGTCTGTGTCCGGTCTGTGTCCGGTCTGTGTCAGGTCTGTGTCCGGTCTGTGTCCGGTCTGTGTGCGGTCTCCGGTTGTTTCTCTGAGTTCGTGTCAGATTCATTTGTCTGCTGTTTCAGGTGTTTTCCTGTGCAGGAGGCTGAGACCACGACAGTGGTGGGAAATAACGTATACAATAACGTATACAATAACGTATACATTTACTCAGGGAACTTACTGTTGCTTACTCAAGTGCAAAACTGAGGTACTCGTACTTTAATTGAGTATTTTCTTTTTCTGACACTTTTTGCTGCACCACATTAATGTTTACTGCTCCACATTAATCTTTATAAAATATGAAGTTCCACAAATATTATTTTTGATTCCAGATATTTCATAGAGGAGTTTTTATGCCTTTACTTTAATAACTAATAATTCTGAGGTTTGGACCAAACAAACCACCACCAAACCCCCTCACTGTAGGGGTCCAGGGTTCAGACCTTTACTGTTCTCTTGTTGTAGACTACACATAACGCCCTCTTGTGGACAACATGGAGAAAGACTCATCTGACCACATCACTTTCTCCACATCTCTGTAGACCAGAGCCTCTGGTCTCTGCACCACTGGACTTTCAGATGTGGATTCATCTGTGTGATGAGGGTTTAGCTCTGCAGCTCTACTGTAAGCTCTTTGTAACTGTTGACAAAATTAAACCCTTTAAACTGCTCGTTAATAAGTTTTAACACTGATAGAAACAACAAATGAACAAATAGATCCTATTACTACAGCTACTAACAACTACTAACTATAGCTGCAACAATCAGTCGACAGACAGAAAATTAATCAGCAGCTACTTTGATAATTATTTAATCATTGGAGACATTTATAAAGCAGAAATTTCAAATATTCTCCAGTGTGACACTTTTCATTGGCTCATGTGACAGTAAACTTGAGGTCTTTGTAGGTTTGGACAGTTGGTTGGATAAAACAATAAATTTTGGATGTATGTATGAGTATGTGTGTGTCCAGCAGTTTGAAATTAACAGACATTATACACAGTTTTTAGACATTTTATTGATAAAACAATCAGTTAATTGAAAAAAGTATTGAGAGATTAATCAATAATGAAAATATCACAATGAATAGATAGATAACCAGTATGTTTGGAGGCTTTTGTCTTTGGTTATTCTCTGTAATGAATAAATGGACCACATCAGACATCAGATAATCATGGTAATGCATGTTAGTGGCATGTGGACAGGGACCTATAGCTGGAGGAGGTGATGAGCAGGATGTGAGGGGTGTGGTTTGCCTGTGATTTTGGGTGCTGTAGTTTGTTCTGTATCTGCTGCTATACCAGACTGTAACAGAGGACCTGATGATGGACTCAGGACAGAACAAGTAGCCGTTGCTTGATCC